TTATGCCTAAGATGTGTGCTACTTGACTAAATAACATGCCAGAAAAAAATCTCATTAAAGACTGGCTCCAACGGATCAGCTTCCTAAGAGTCCTCTTAATGGTGTAGTTGGGTACCTGTAAGGTTGATACCCATCAGGATGCTATTTCTTACGCAAATGTTCAAACTGACTATTTTAAAACTTAGCATTTGTGAAGTGTTGCGAGATCCTTGAAGAACTCAAAATTGAATTCCGTTGTTGATGGTAGGGTGCTGGTTCTGTAGTTTTAACTTGGAGAAAAGGTAGACTTTCAGCCCTGTTTTTTATTTAAAAGGCTGATTTGGGATTACTTTTCCCCATCAGAGTTTCTGTGAACAAAGCACATAACCTTTGCCTTGCTTTTCCCTTTTCACAACTCTTTTGGGAGGGTTTAATGAGGCCTAGTACTCTAGAAACCTTCACATAGAGTCTACAGTATGAAATAACACCAATGTTGACACTTCGCTTAGCCTCTCCTTTTAGCTGGGCTTTCTTCCTTTTCCACCCCTGTTTGCCTGGACAGTTTACGAGGAAATTAGAGATTCTTCCTCTTAGGCTTGCGCTAATCTGCATCCTGATACTTGAGTGCACACTTTGACTTGTCGGTCTCGCTTGAGTTTCTTAAAAAGTAGATCTATTTGGTTATGTAAATCAGCAGTACTCTAAGCCTTGACCTGCTCATACTTGTTTGCTTACTCATTGCCTATCAGCAAAACCTCCTTATGTGTAAATAGACTGAAACTAAGTTGCCCTGTGTACTTCAAAAACTCAACAGTCCTCTGTTCTTAGAACTGCTCAGTGGTTAGTGGCATCCAGTTGTGTTAAACACAAGATTTCAGTGCTAAGAATAGTATCTGATTTGAATATTGGGTGCCTTCAATGCAAGAGGAGAACTTCTTGACTAGCCGTTAGTAACGGGCTCCCTTCTGACTTCCATGCTGGTTTTTCTTGGACCAGGTTTAAGCTGAAGAGTTCTTTATCCAGCAGCTGACGTCTGCTTAGGAAGTGTGGCAGTAATTAATAGGGGACAGGTTGAAATAAAGCAGTTGATGTTGGCTTGTTGGAATTAAGATTGCAGGTGGAGAGGAGATGCTTATTCTTGGGAATTCCCCAAGCAGGAGAGATGGGAAAGAGGGAAGGTTCAGATGGCAGATCAGTTGCCATCTCTATTCTAATTATTCAGAGATGATTAAAAGCGCCAGGTAACTGCTGCTATTTCTTTTTTTTATGTAGTCCCATGAGAAATGGCAATCAAAACCTCCTCTTGTGAGGCTGGAAAAACTTGGGTCTTGAACATATTAACGTTAGTAGAAGCCTTGTGTCTGCTTTGTGGCTCTAAGCATAATAATGTTCTTGTTCACTATGGAAGAAACTGTTCTGTCATTGTGGTATCACGAGTAGAAGAATAAAATTTTTGTCCAAAGCAACATGCCATGAAAGGGGAGGTGAGCTATGTGTCTAAAAATGTCATGCCTGTGTATGTTTTGTGGTTTATTATGGGTTTGCCTCTGTTCCTGCAGTGCGGTACAGCTGGGTAACACTGGTCATCTGACTTGTATCCCAGCGAGTCTTATAAAACAGAACACATGGCTCAATGAAATTAATAAAAACTTTGTGTTTGTCACAGTCCTTCAGGATTAAATAAGCAAAACATAAAAATTCCAAAAGAAATGTAAGCGTTTAAGATTGAGAATCCTCTTTATGTTATCTTAGATCTTAAAGGCACATATTGACCATCTGGTTAAAATCAGTCTTGCGTGCAGTTTGGATCACTCTTCCACAGTGTTCTCCACCTTCTGAATTCAGAGTGGGACTTGTTTAATTTCAGCATCTTTGGCACAACCGTCACAGATCCTAAAGCTGCCTTTCCACGTGCCTGCTAGCTTGTTACTCCCTTTTTCACTGCTAGTCCTTGTGCTTTTCCCCAGCACAGGCTCTTACCATCGCTGACATGTCAGATGTCTTAAGTGAAGCAAGAATAGCCTCGAGTACAGTGGAAACAGGAGGTGCAGAAACAACTCCAAATGGGGTTAACCTGTTACAAGTTACTAAATGTTGTGGTTTTTCCCTGCATCAAGGTAATGTTCTCTGAACTAAGATCCTCTTTGTGAGTCACTGTTAAAGTTAGGACTGCTCTGTGCCAGCTGAGCAGTCTGCTCTTTATATACAGGAACAGACTATCTGCTGTAAACTCAGGGTGTATTAGGGCTGTGTTTTAAGAAGCCTACACATTATTGAAAAGTAATATTCCATAGTTGTAAGAAAAATATCCACATATTTTTACAAGGGCACACTTTGAACCTCACAAAGCAGAAGCTGTTTTGTTCGTAATTACTGCCTGCTAGCCTGGTAGGTGTATGGTTTCCTTAGTGTGTAAGAGTATTTCTCTGAGGAGGACCAGAGCTCAACTTCTGAGTGTACTCACAACAAGTTTCCTACTACTTGATAACTCCTCTCAGATGATCTCTGCTCGTGATTACACAACAGGCACCTGTAGCTTGCTTTTTTTCTTTCCGCTAAACATATCACACTTATTCCTTTGAATTTGTCATCTTAGAGTAAGTATCTGTGTTCTGCTTTAAAGGAGCTTAATGATTTTTTTTTTTTTCCCCCCAAACATATCAGCAAGAATGGAAACAAGGAAGGTACATGTTGGAGTAGAATGGGCAGGCGGATGCCATTTTGCATTTTATTGAGTGCTTTGTGATTATAAAATACTAAAATAGTAGTTTTCAAATGTATTTTTTCAAGCAAGTATAACTAAAACCTTACACAGCAGACTTGCACTTTGGCATGCTGCAAAAAGTTGAGATTTAGCTTACAGTCGTGCTTTTCTAAGGAGCAGGAAAGAAGAATTTCACATAGGGAGCCAGCAGTTAAAGTTGTATTCAATTATACGCAATGAAGCACTATATAAAATGTCACGGTTCCTCTTCCTTAAGTTTATTGCTTGTGACCAGGCTTAATGGGCAAGCAAGATAACACACACAGAGACATAAAAGTTGGTAATATTTTCCTCTGAGTCATAAATGTGCATACACAAAGACATCCACTGCTGTTTTTCAAGACTTTCATGTAAATGATTATGTTATGAAAGCTGACACGAGGCTGTATGTAGTTTAGAGTCTTTCAAGATTAATTAGTGGAAGTTAGAGGACAGAAATGTGAATATTAGCAAAAAAGCAGGACCAATGTGATAAACAGAAAAGTTTAATCTTTGCCACTTAAAAGAAACTGTGTGTGGGAGATGGTAGCAAGCACTGTAAAACAGTTTTTTTTTTATCCTGTTTTCTATACTGCATGTATCGAAGAGCCCTGTGTCTAATAATAGACTACATGGTTCCCATTACTAGTGACTTAATGAAATACTATCTTCTAGTGAAACATGGCTTGTGTTCCTAATGGTGCTTTTATTGTCGAGCTTGAGTGAGTTCTATACTGTTAATTGTAAAGGTATCTTTAAATCTAAATCCTGCTCTATTTGGGTAGTGTAATTGTAGATATTGAAAGGAATTCCTTTTGATTTGTATTTTACACGTTAGGATAATGCGTCGTGGAATTTTTGTAGCATGTGTTCACTTTGAAAGGTTTTATTTTCTTGCATGGGGAACCAGTTGGATTTATAGATCTATTAAGCAAGGTGAGCTAGATATATACGATTCACAGTGATTTTTATATTCCTCAACTTGAAGTGACCTAGTGAGTTTGAAAGTAGCATAAAACTTGAAGCTGACGTCTTAATATTTGATCTGCTGTGATCACGACCTGTTAACCTTTAGCTTTAATGGCGCTATATAATTCTCCTTAAAAGTTGCAAATGTACTCTACTGTGGGGCTGATTGATGATAAAATACACTTTGCATAATCACCCCTCTAGAATGTGTGTTGTTTCTAGTAGATATTGATCTCCTGTATTTGTTATCTTCTATTTGAGGGAGACTTTGGTTTCTGATGTAATGTGGGTTTTGTGCCGATAATACGCTCAGCATCTTGATTAGGAGCTACAGAACGTACGGTTCTTGAAAAGGCCAAAGCTCGTTTCATGGTGTAGTTCCCATAAACATAAATTTTTAGATCGTACGAAGATGACTGTATTGACCACGATGACTTCGTAACCTCTGGTGGCAAGGAAAAGTCAAAAGACAATCCTAAGAAATGCAGTGTACAAATATTAAAACTGTTCATGAGAACTGCTTCACTTAAGCAAAGATTCCTAGAACATATATTATATTATATTATATTATATTATATTCTTTAACACAGACTGTCAAACAGTCTAAAGTTTTGGTTCTCTGGTCTCACGCAGCAGTTCAGACAGAAATAAGCTGTGCTACTTTCTTATAAGCTATTTGCTACATCTAGGTATTTAAAATTGTGAAAAATGCTTTATTTATTAAATAGGAGAAATAAATATTAGGAATATGATATTTGCAAGGGCTGTAGTGGCTGATGATGCTGTATTCTTGATTACTTGTATTCTCTAAGTCTGCTTCTGGTGTGTTGGTAAATGAGCCTGCAAATGTCTTCTGTGTGTGAAAAGATTTGTGCTCCTTCAATCACAAAATAACAATCAAAACAGAACACCTTTCTTAAAAGACTGTTTCTATTTGGAGATGAGCTAACCAAATGCGAATGGCTGAATACAAAGGGATAAGGTAGGATCTGGTATTATGCCGCACGCTTCTTAAAACACGCTTCACTTAGTGAGAGGAATGTTGCAGCACTGGGAGAGTCATAAAGCATCTTTTAAAAACCTAAAATACTTTAGAAAATGTAATTCGTTAGCTGAATGTTGATGTCATTTTTTTAAAGGCTGGTTGACTGGAGTTGCAGGGGGTTCCTAAGTACGTCCTGTGGAGGGGGTTCCTGGGAGAAGTCAGCAAGGGAGGCTTTTTAAATCTTTACCTTCTCAGAAAAGGAGTTTACTTAAGCATCTGAATAATTTCACCTTAAATGCTTTTTTGTGTTTTCTTTCCCATCAGATTTCCTTTATATCCAAAAGGAGGGGAGAAGCTTCAGTTTGAATATGGAGTATATCTTCTCAACAAAAATATAGCACAGGTTGGTACACGGAGATTTTTTTTTTTTTAATAAGTAGCTGTGTTCTGCTGAGTGTCAGTATGGCATGAGTGTGCATCTACTGACTTGTGATGCTGTTCTCTATGGCAAACATCTGAACTAGTGGAGGCGTTCTTCAAATCATTGTCTTCGCTTCCCTTACTGCTTTGTGCTCGAGACTTTCTCTTGTGTTGCTTGAAGAAGGGCTCGCCAGCTAATAATGAATCTTTTCCTTTTCAAATAAATACTTTGAGTCTGTATGCACTGTTTTGAAAATTGTAAATGCTTTCTGTTGGTTTTTTTTTTATTCTGTCATACTTGAAGATCCATTCGTGTCATTCTCATTGCTGCTTTAATTTTGCTGTATTACTTTAACTGGTATTCTACTGCAGTACTTATGATAAGAAAACGGAACAAGTTGGAAAACCTTAAGTCTTGCCCATGCATGACTTTATGTGTTTTTTTGGTTGGTTGGTTGGTTTGTTTGTTTTTTTTAATCCTCTAATCATCCCTGCTTCTTTGCTCTTAATGTATTTTAAAAATCATCCTTTACTTTGGCAAGCTCATGAGAGTTCACAAGTTTACAAACTTGTATTTGAGATGCTGCTAACCTGCTGCTGACTCATTTGGTATGGAATTCAGGAAATGTTCAAGAAGCTGGTCTGAAAGGGACCTGGGGAGGCCGTTTAGACTGTTGCCTAGTCCTAGGGCAGGACCAGCTGCTTTTATGCTCTCCCTGGTAGATGTTTGTCTAACTTTCCCTGAGGGAAAGCCTGTGATCGAAGTAGTCCCTTCCAGTGATGGGCTGTCCTGGCCATTAAAGTCTTTTCTGACACCTAATCCAAATCTGCCTTGCTTCTGTTTGACCACATAATCACTTCCTATAGTAATCTGTTCATTTAATTCTCTTCCTCTTTGCAAACTTTTATGGACTGGAAGACAACTTCTCCTTTCTAAAGTGTTATCTCATGGGTCATGTCATAGAATAGAATCATAGAGTCGTTTAGGTTGGAAAAGATCCTTAAGACCATCAAGGCCAGCCGTTAACCCAGCACTGCCAAGCCCACCGCTAAACCATGTCCCTGAGCGCCATGGCCACACATCTTTTAAATACCTCCAGGGATGGGGACTCAACTACTGCCCTGGGCAGCCTGTTCCAATGCTTGATAAGCCTTTCAGTGAAGAAGTTTCTCCTAATATCCAACCTAAACCTGCACTGCTGCAACTTGAGGCCATTTTCTCTCATCCTATTGCTTGTTGCTTTTGAGGCCATTTTCTCTCATCCTATTGCTTGTTGCTTGGTGGAAGGGACTGACCCCTGCCTTGCTACAGCCTCCTTTCAGGTAGTTGTAGAGAGTGATAAGGTCTCCCCTGAGCCTTCACTTCTCAAGACTAAACAACCCCAGGACCTCAGTGTCCTCCTTGTAGTGAGGCGCCCAAAACTGAGCACAGGATTCGAGGGGCGGCCTCCCCAGTGCCCAGCACAGGGGGACCATCCCTGCCCTGCTCCTGCTGGCCACAGTATTCCTGATACAGGCCAGGATGCCATCGGCCCTCTTGGCCACCTAGGCACACTGCTGGCTCATGTTCAGGCAACTGTCGACCAGCGCCCCCAGGCCCTTTCCCACCAGACAGCTCTCCAGCCGCTCCTCCCCAAGCCGGCAGCGTTGCATGGGGTTGTTGTGACCCAAGCGCAGGACCTGGCACTGGGCCTTCTTGAACCTGATACAATTGGCCTGGAACGTCTCATACAATGTCTCTTAATTTCTGAGCATTCTTGTTGTCTCCTATTCTCCATCTGAATCCACATCTTTCTTGAAGTGTGGTGCCCAAAGCTGTGCAATTGTTGCCTTCAAAACATTGAGAAAGATGGGAGAAGTGCTTTACAGCTCTCTTCATTTTTTTTTTTCCGGTTTATGTTCCGATAGATTTGTACTCAACAGCGTGAAACGGTGAATTTTGTGCTTTAGTGCAGCCAGCAACCCTAAGTCTCTTCAGCATAGCAACAGAACAATCCATTCTGAATTTGGGCAGGTGACTCATTTAATTCATGTTTTACATGCTGTACCTTGAATGTACTTTAGATGACCCTTTTTCTTCTTAATTGTGTCTCAGATTTGGTGACATAACTCTAGAAGATGGGGAAAGGTAGGCTGAGAACTCAGTCTCAGCTTTGTGCTGTCTGCATGTGAGCCTATTCTCCATCCAGGTCACCTAATTAAGGTATTGAATAGAACTGGGGTAAAGCCTGGACCCAGGTGGAGCCCTGCTTCACTAGCACTTCCATTTGCAGCAGTGAACTGTTGTTTAACTACACCCAAAGAGTACTTACTTGCTCTGTATTCATTCATACTTCATCAATATCCCATTTCCCCAGCATGCTTGCGAGCATATTACACCATAAAGTGCCAAGAGATTTATTTAAATTCCAACAGAAATATGGCACTTCGGTTTCTAACCTGTTTGTAAGGCATGAAATTAGATTGGTCTGACAGTTTTATTCTTGAAAAATTGGATCTTTTTTATGCTTAGTTTCTAGTTGTTTGGTTTGTTTTTCCAGTTCTCTCTCCCACCACTTTTTCCCCATTCCCTGCCCCAAATTGAAGTAAAGCTTCTGGGTCTTTTTGTGTTGTTTGTTTTTTAAGCTTGGATTGCATTTACCGTTTTCCAGACTTCTGGTATCTTGCCCATGCTTAGTGTATTTTGGAAGATAACCTCCAATGGCTCTGAAATTACTTAAAGGCTAAAATATCTTAAGATGAAGTTAATCAAGTCCTGCTAATCTTGGAAATTCACTTAACCAAGCTGTTAATATAACTTAGACTGTGACTCTCTGTTGCTGGTATTAATAATGGCAGCCAGCTGTTCACACTTGACTTTCATAGGGAAGACTAGTGAGAAAAAGGGATTAAATACTCTTTCCTTCAAATGCTTTGATAGCTTTCTCTCTCCATTACTGTGAAATCAATGCTTTCCTTAATCTCTACTTATGTAAATATATTAGTTCATTCTGTAACTTTGTGAGTCGGGATGCTGCTTGCTTTCCTTTTCAGCCTTTCATGTTTTTGTTCCTATTCTGGAGTTTGCCGTTCAGTTGTGTGATGCAAGTGCTTTGGGCTTCTTTCTTGATTGAAGCGATGAACTCCTCATTGAGCCCAAACCGGTAGCCTTTCCATTATTTCTTGTAGTCTGGGTTAGCTGGCACTTGTGCCTGTAGTGTCCTTATAGTAACTCTCACCACTTCACTTGTTCTCCTGTTTTTCTCTCTGACTCGTCTCTGAGGTGTTACCACTGCTAGGCCTACTGAAATCTCTCGTTCTGGTTTTGTTCTTGACTTATTTCTAAATGACTATGAACAGCTGAACACACGATCACTTGCCCATGTTGCCTTCCAAGTCCTTGCAGTTGGTTTCTGAAATCACTGGCATGTGTTTAAACTCATAAAAGTAAATGAAGACTTTAAGTATGTATTTGTATAAAAAAGCTTCCAAATTTACATGAGGTCACTGGTGCTGGTACAAGCTAAAGTAGTCCGTGGCCAAACTTTGAAGTGGTTTGTGCAACGCCAGTGGTTCACATGTTAATGCTTGAGATTGTATGCTGTTGAATATAAAAACATAATAAAAGTAAATCGGAATTTCTGGGGGGCTTCTACTACTTATTTAATCAGGAAAGCGTTACCGAAGTCCCTATAAACTGTTGTAGTCACCTTTGTTTTGGTATCCTTGGTCAAATATTGCAGTTTTTTATAGTTCTGCCAAGGGAAAATTCCATTGTGAAAGCAGCGTGAAAGCAGACCAGGTAGATAAGATGTAGAAATACATCACACAAACGTCTCTACTCAGGGGCTGACTTGATCTAGAAGCCGAGATTGTTTGAATCCTTTGTGTTTTCCATTGGAGGCTGGAACTGTTGAATTTTAAGTAGCTTTTAGAAGATCTTAAGGCCGCTTTGAGAGAAGCTTCCAGATATGCTTAGTTCATGTGAACGTGTGAAAATAATTAAGTTTGGATGGAGAGTGAGCAGCTGCCTCCTATCTCTAGACCATCACAGCCTGTGAGGGAATCCTTTTAAGGCCCAAAGGTGTTGGTCTTAATTCAAGGAACTGCTCCTGCAAATTATTCTGTTGTGAATAAATGCGCATCTGTTGCTTAATTCCTTAATGTGGGAAGATTGGAGGTGTCTAGGAGGAACAGTGCTGACTCTACTGGAGCATTAAGAGAAGAGCTTGAGTCTCTGTCACCTTACTTGAATCATTCATGCAAGTCTTGATCACCGTGGGGGAGAAACGAAGAGCCCAGAGAAACTTGTATCATTATAAAGAAATACTTTGGATTTGTATAAGCTTCCCTGGTTTCACAGATTTTTGGTTTTTTCCTTTTCACGATTACCTGGAGTTCTGGTGGCAAGGAGAAACGTGAGTGGGGAAGAAGTGAGACTGGGTTGATATTAAGTAAAATTACTGAAATAAAACTTCTAGAGATAAAGTGGTACTGTTTTGTAAAACAGCAGGATAATAACAATGAAAACCACATCTTGCACTCAAGAGAATTCAGCTGGAATTAGAAGCAGCTCAGTGCGAGCTTGGTAGAGCATTTATTTGGAGAAACTTGCTTTGCTGTTACATTCCGAAGTCAAAACAATGTGTGTTAATTCCGAGAGTTCGTAATAACTTCCATCTGTACGTGAGCACAAATTGTTTCAAGCCCCATATTTTCTATTTGTAAAATTGAATCCCTCACGAAGTTCACAGAGTAGCTTTTTATGTTGGATAATATTAGGTAAGACCATAAATTTCCAGTTAAGATTTCAGCTCTTTGACTCTAACGAACATACAAATGTGTTATTTTTTTTCAAAGGGAAATTAGCGACTTATGTCTAATAATATCAACAAAAAGAAAAAAATCACTGTCATTCCACAGCATTGTCAAAGGTGAAGCGCAATACAGTTGCTAAAAATGGGAGTGAACTGCTCAGCTCTCAAAAGCATTCGGCGCTGGGAG